GTATATATATATATGTGAGATTGGTGCAGAGGTCCAAACCAAGTCTCTAGCTGAGGCACACGAAGTCCGCAGCCAAGTTGCGAAAGCAGCGCCCTTTTCAAAGCGCAGACAGCGCAGCCATGTATTGGCGGTCAGAAAGTTTCCCACCCTGAGTGGGCAAGTGGCAATTGGGCCGGTATGGCCACATGTATAAACACCTTAGCAAAAGTGCAAGACAGACCTGGCAGGTGCAAAACATGCTATGGCAAAGGTTGCATGGAGTGCAAACTAACACGGGGAGAGAGCTATCTGTACAGCACTCAACCATGCATTGCTACAGGCCATGCAGTTGCACCTTGCTCAGTGATCCATGTCTCTAATTCTCTTAAAAGAGACACACCACGGCCATCCAGCGCATACGGAGTGATCTCACCAGTCGAACAGGTCGGGCACGGTTGAAATCTTCTCACTCCATTGGCTTCGTTCAGGCGACCACTGGGCAGGTTCCGGCATTGCGGTTGCGCATGCCAGATATTGTCGTTGGTGACCCAAATCAAGTCACTCAACGGACAAACATCAGCATGATCGAAGGATTCGATCAAAGCCCTTCGCATGATGTCCACTCCAGCATCACGCTGGCGATCAGCGTTTTCCAGAAAGTCCCGGTTTCGGGCAAAGTTTCTGTACTCTTGGGCTATATGCTGTTGCTCATAGTCCATCCTTGCAAAAAGTATTGGCAGGGCTCGGCTCCGTGCAATCGCACCCCGCGCATCGGTCATGGCGGCCAGATATCCATCATCAAAGGCCTTCTTGAGCTTGAGTTTGACGTAGGCGGCCAAAATCACCACCAAAAACATCACAAGCAAAACCATGAAAAACAAAATGCCAGGCTCAACTTTGGGCAGGGCTGACAAAATGCCAGCGGCACTTGTGAAACCAAGGTAGTAGCGCATCTTTTCGAAGATCGCTCCCTCATACACATTGATTCCCTCGGACTGTGGCAGGACTGTGTTGATATATTCAATCACCTCGTCGGTGTGCACCATGTAGACACCAGAGGCGACAGCAGCATTCGCAGGGATTTCAGCATCTTGCGTTTCAGTTTCATCTCCAAGTTCTTCATCCATCACATCCTCATTGATGACTCGAAGTCGTTGAGGTGGCGGCGCAGCATGTTGGTCCATGTTGGCTTGTCGCTCTTGTGCAGGCTTTCTTTTGGCAGCAACGTATTGAGGATCCCAGTAGAATCCAATCTTCCCATGTCGAAGTCTGTTGGCAAGCAGCTGGCGGCTGCTGGTTTTGGTGAGGCCATCCGCCCATTGGCGTTCCGAAGAAACCCATCTCAGTTCTCCTCCAAGGTCTTGAAGAAGCTCCTTGATCACACGGATCTCCAAAGCAGTGCGGCGATCCGTCACATTCGCCGTAACAGTCTCTCGGTGAAAACTGTCATACAAAGCTTTTGCATCTGTGATCATGACTGGTTTCAAGGTAGTTGGCCTTCTCAGCAGTTCAGCCAGTTGTAGGTTGGGACATAGGAGGTGGTCCCAAAACTTGCAAACAGCATCAGTGGCATCTGTTGCTTGGGCAGCGGCCTGTGTTTCGGCGGCCAGTGAGCTCCGAGCAACACGGGGCAATTTCATCGATCGCCACTCCAGCATGTGGAAGTTGTCTTCCTGGTTGACCAAGGTGTGCTCTGGCACCAGGAGGATCATGTAGCCACCTTGAGAGGACCCGTCGGGCCTCGTCGAAAACGAAGCGTCAAACAAGGTGACAAGTCGAAGCTGTTCCACAGGACCCAGGCTTTTGTAAACCAAACCGACATCACCATTTTGTTTTGCAAACTTCAAGGTTCGATTGAGGTCTTGGACAGTGCTAACTTTGGCATTGTTCACCTGTCCAGCAGCTAAAGACACTGAGGCCTGGAGGTGCGGTGAACTCTGCACGCTAGGCCACTGTAGTGCTCCACAAAGTCCACGGAGCGCAGTGATCTCCTTTGAAGTCAGCTCCACATCAGGTCCATGAGACCGAGGAATGGTCATTGGATGAATCTTCTCCACATAGGTCTGCTGAAAAAGCTTCAAACCATCTCCATCAGGCAGTTTCTCGATGGAGCAGCCACAGTATTGCAGGACGTCACCATCTTTCCATTCACGAAAGTTAAACACGGACTGCAGCTCTTTGATGATTCTTTGCCAGGTAGGCGAAGTTGGGCAACCCGACCCCAAAAGGTCGTCAACATGCAAACACACCATGCCGCATAGTCGGCTGTCACCAAGGGTTCCAGTTGTTGAGGCACCATCGTTGAAGTCGGCCTCATAGGCCAAGAAGCAGCAGGGATCCAGGTAGTGTGGTCGTAGACCAAGATCCTTCAGCCTTCTGGTGGTTTCTTGATACCATCTTCTCGGTGCATCTAACTGGCCATACACCGGTTTCAACAGCAGCATTCGGCATGTGTCTGGAGCTCCCAAAAGTCTCAGGCACTCAGGTGGCAATTTCACCCACAACTTTCGTTCTTGTGGAAGTCCTTGAAGAAAAGCAGTTGCCACATCGGCTGTCCAGGCAGACCAGCCTAGCAGTGCCGTCAGGCTCATCAGGAAGTTTCGAGAGGTTCTGGAAGTTGTTGGACTGCTGGTTTGCAATCCTTTGTCCAAGGCATCCACATCCAAGTAGCCACGGACTATCAACCTGGCTTTTGCTCTTGGACTCCCGTCAGGGTTCTTTGACCATTTGGTCAAGACACGTGCTGTCAGAGTTCGCTCTGGCTGAGCGTTTTCCACTGTGTCAAACTCCCAAACCTGGTTCTCGAAAAACGACTGAAGCTCTTTGCTTTTCGCCTCCTGAAACTTTGCACGATCATCAGGAGAGAGCAGTCTTTCGTTGATGGAACTGTTGGCAACCTTCTTGTGCTGTTTGGCCATCTTGATCTTTGTGTCCTTGCCCAAACGTTTGGAAGGCAAGCTGGCAAACATACCCATTTCACGGCGAGCTTTGCCAGAGATCTGGAAGATGGTGCAGCCGGTCCATTCAAAGTCCAAGAACCGCTGCTCAGCACCAAGGTCGTTGATGACCCGCAGTTTTCCATCAGCAGCTTTTGCAACCGTAGTGCGGTTGGCATCCAAAAGGTCAGCAGGGATCGGCACATCAGAGATCTCCTTGATCTTGAAGAGGCAGCGGCGTGGCCGTACATGGTGTCGAATGACACAGCCAGCTTTGACTTCCCAGTAGTCCATGGGGTCATTCGTCAAGCTGAAGTAGCCATCATCATCAATCTTCCAGCCATCAGGGATCTGTGAAGGATCCACGTCAAGTACATCAAAGGACTGCATGTAGTGTTCACGGACATCTCGATCTCGATCTTTCTGATCGTCCTTGTCCTTGTCATAGGGCTGGGATTGTCGTTGACGATGTTGCCGCATAGGACCAAAGATTGAGGTCTCGGCTCGATCCATTAGGATACGTCGATGTCGAAACTCCTCTTCAGGGCCAGCAGGCTCATAGAGGTTCAAGTTGGTAGATGTTGGTGCAGGTGGCATTGAAGAAGGTTCAGGTGGTTGCACTGGAAGAGGCTCAGGTGCAGCAGGTTCAGCTGCCATTGATGGTGCTCTGGTGTGCACCGCTGGTGTTTCAGGATGAGGTGGTTCAAGTCCAGGTTCATCAGAGTCCACATGGATTGGAGAATCACCTGCATCTTGAAGTTCAGGGCCAATCGGAGGTCCACCAGCTTCGTCTGGTGCAATTGATGGCGAGTAGCTCACACTGCGTTCCCCAGCTGACTGCAAGTCCAAGTCCAAGTCAGGTGGGTCAGCAATGGGCTCAGGAACCGGCAGAAAGTCCAAATCCGGTTGATCACCCGGTGGCAAGTCCAAGTCCACACCAGGATGATCGCCAGTGCGGCGTCGAGTTGATGGAGGTTCTTGAGGGTCTCCACCATCGCCATCTTCACCATCGTCAGGAGCATCATCTTGCATGCCCTCTTCATCATCATCCACATCATCAATGTTCCGGCGGTTCAGTCTTCCAAGGTCCAGGAATCGGGTGACTCCTCTGGATTTGAGGCCAGCGATGTCATGTCGTGCAGCTTGAAGTCCATCGATCGCGACCTGCAAATCAGTGAAGTCAGGCCGAACATGATGTGGTGCTGCTCGGATGAGCTGGGTGCGGTGTGCAACCCAATAGAGTCTGGGACGACCCTGCTCATCATGCTCCACCATAACCACTCGAGCAGGACCATGCCATCGAATCTTCTTGAGGTCAGAGGCACGGCTGTCTCTCCAGTAGAAGCAGCTTTGGCCCAGAGTCAGAGGCCCTTGCTGGCGTTGGTACTTCCGAAGAAGAGCACGCCTGAGCTTTCGATCCACCTCGGCAGCAGTGATAGCATTTCGAGCGGCAGCTCGACGCTTCAAGGTCTCCTCAAAGGGTTGGTTTCCTTCAAGGTGTGCTGGGCCAAGTGAATCTGAAAGAAGTTCGCCAGCAAGTTGAGGTTGATATCCAAGAAGCCATTGATTTGGCGAGTAGCCAGCAACCGTAGTTGAGCTGTTCAGCTGTGGGATGGTGTAGGCCAGTGCCTGTCGAAGTCCATCGCGATCTGAAAGTCCAAGATCGGCCATGTAGATCTCCACAGCTTTTCGAAGAACAGCATGGCGGCGTTCCACCAAAGCCAAACGAGTGTGGGCTTCTCCAGGTGCTACCAAGTGCTCGACCATGTGAGCGCTAACCCATTCTTGAAACTCATCAGAGGCCCAACCACGGCCTTCATCGGTCAGCAAGGTCTTGGGGCATCCAAAGTGTCGCACCCAATGGCGCTCCAGCACTGAAAGAAAATGCTCAGAGCGTTCTCCATGAAGAACTCCAGCAGCTTGATAGCGAGTGGCCTGATCAAGCAGGCTCAAAATGGGGAACTTGCGGTCTTTGACCTTCACCCACATCACATCCGCTTGCAAAACATGGTTGAACTCCTTGACATCGTTCAACACAGCTGGTGGCACACTGTCGGGCTTTTTGTACCGTTCACATGAAGCACATGAAAAGTTGCGAGCCACTTCCAAGACCACATCGCTCGCTCCACGGCTTTCCAGGGTTTCCACCAAAGCCTCCATGGACGGGTGTCCCAAGTTCCGATGCAAACGTTGAACGCATCGAACAGCTTCTTGGCGGCTGTTGGTGAGCAACTGGATGATGCGGCCAACATGTTTCTTTTCATCGTCAGCGGCTCCAACAAAGTCAGAGATGGTTGGCAACTCATCCATCATCAGGCAGGCAGCCAGTGTGGAAGCCAAAGTGGGCTGGTAGTGCTCGAGGTATCGCGTCCGACGTCCAACATCAGGACCACTTCCTTCAAGCCGGCAGTGTTGATGATCACCAGCACATCGCCGTTGGAACTCCTTGTACACGGCCATCTTTGTGGTCTGCAGACCAGTTGGCTTTTGAACCAACCTCCATACCAAGTCGGTGTCTTGGCAGGTGCAACCATATTGGCATTGGTCAAATCTGCAGTAGAGTCCAGGAAGATTTGAAAGAGCACTGGTACGCCACGATCGAGCGTAGGCAGGTTGTTCCAGATGGGCGTGACCACCCTGCTTGATCTGCTTGAGGTACACCTTTTTGCAAAAACAAAGATGAACTTGATGATGCCACTCTCGAAGTTCACGTAGTTGTTGCTGTTGTTCAGGTGTTCGTGCTGCAAGTCCTTGCATCAGTGACCAGGGTCCACAAGTTGGTGAAAGGTAGATCTCGTCAGGGACCTCTTTCTCCTGCAAGGCCAAGAACGCACGTTGGTGAGCAGGTTGATCAAAATCCCAACCAGTGTCGAGAGAAAACACCCTCACAGTGGCTCCAAGGCTCTCGGCGATCTGTGCCATGCGGCTGCGACCACCATAAACTTCCCAAATCACTCGACCACGATCACCAGCATGAAGCTCGGAGGTGATGTAGCCATGCATGTCATTGAGCTCCTCAGTCAGGCGGGCATCCATGGTTTGAAAAAGATGCCGTTGGCACTTGACTGTGCCAGGTAAAATCCATTCATCGCCATGGTCATGAGCTTGAAAAATCATCTCTTCACCGTTGAACTCCAGGAAGGTGCGAGGATTCAAGTCCACCTCGCCAGGTGAGGCCAACTGCAAGTCAAAGTGGGGCTCAAGGGCTGCATGGAAAATCTCGAAGTCCATGGAGAGAGGTAGCAGATACTCTCCATGCAGACCCATCAGCGCAGGCATCCATTGACCATCACCATACCTGATCTTCTCAGAAGAAAAATCCAAAGCTATGCCAAGTTGTTGTATGATTGGCCGGCCACACAACATAGGCGTTTCACCAGGGACCATGAAAACCTGGGCAAAACCGTAGAGGCCATTCACAAACATTGGCATTCTGGCGACCCACTTGGCTACGCTTTCAGCGTCTCCTCCAAAATGAAATTTCCGATCACAACGGTAAAACAAAATGGTTTCCACAGGGTAGCCAAGTTGTTGCAGGTGTTACCTGCCCATGGGTCCATATCCACAAAGGAAAGCTGAGGCACCAGGGTCAAGCATCGCAACATCGGTGCGCTCATGCCCATGTTTGTCCATGAAGGTCACCAGGGCTCCCTCGGCATGCTTTGCCATCGACTCAGTGGCAGGAGCAGGTCTCTTGTTGGGGCTGCTCTTCTGGTTGTTGACAGGGCAGTTTGCGGCAAAATGCCCTTTCTGGCCACATCGAAGGCATTGCAGGGCAGCTTGGGCTCGTTGTTGTGGTTGTGCAGGTTTCATAGGCGCCTTGTCGTACTTGTACATGTTGGGCTTACCACCTTTCGATTTTCCCTTGCCCTTCTTGCCCTTGGGCGATCCACCGCCAGAACTCCTTGAAGGCGAGGAAGTGCCAGGCTGCAAGTTGGAGTCCTGAAGGGCAACAATGGGCAAGTAGCCACGGCTCAACTTCAGGTCATTGAACCTTTTCCTTGCATCCAGGTAGGCTGCATAGGCATCATCCCATGAAGCCACATCGAAGGTCGACGTAGTGCCATCATCAGGAAGGGTCGATTCAGCTTCCAAGTCACCAGTCTGGTAGTAGGCGGCGTCATCATCGAAGCCTTGTTCATCGAAGCTGGCATTGTCATCCCATGCCCAGTAGGCATCATAGTAGGACTGTGTGTCCCAATCCCAATCATCAGCGTCACCATCAGCATCTGTCTCATCACCAAAGTAGGCTCGACCACCTTTCCCACGGTGCCATCGGCGGTCATGTCCAGCAGGGGCAGCTCCAAGCTTGTAGTCCTGACCCAAAATCAGGTACATAGCTTCTACAACTTTTGTCAGCTCGAGTTGCGGTGCCCTCAAATTGACAAGTTGCCGTTGTTCTTTGGTGAGGCCACTTTTTCGAAGTAGGTGCCATCCTTGCACTGCCGTCGGAAGGCTGACACCATGCTTCTCCAGTTTCTTGTGCAGCTCCGCATGGTCGCTGACATAGGCCAACAGCGTCTGACCAGGCTTTCTCTGAAGTCCAAAGTAGCCATCGAAGTCGCTGGGCAACTGCACTCTGGTGTCATACTCAAAGTGACCATCTAAGAGCTTGATGATGCTCTCGAAGGCAGATTCCTTTTCACATTCATCCAAATTGAAATCTTCCACAAGTCTCCATGCCGAACCTTGAAGACTGCCGATGATGTTCAGCACGGCTTCTCCATTCCTTTTCGTCAATCCCATCTTCCTGTAGTAGATGTGGAATCGTTTCCGCCACTCCTTGTAGTCGGCAGGTTGGCCCGAAAACAAGGGGATGAAACTGTCACGGGTGGTAGCATCAGCTGAGGTTTCCTGCTTAGCAGATCCCGAAGCCATACTCCACAACGTCCAAGGTGAACTCCAAAAAGGTGAGCTGGTCTATGCCCTTAGGGTTGATCAAACAGTAGAGCTCGACCAGGAGTTCTTTCCGAAGCGCTCCACAGCCAGGACCCAGTAGAGCTAGAAGTCCAAGAACCAAAGCTCCAAGGATCAGGCAGCGCTCCGCTACCAATGTGAGATTGGCGCAGAGGTCCAAACCAAGTCTCTAGCTGCAGCACACGAAGTCCACAGCCAAGTTGCGAAAGCAGCGCCCTTTTCAAAGCGCAGACAGCGCAGCCATGTATTGGCGGTCAGAAAGTTTCCCACCCTGAGTGGGCAAGTGGCAATTGGGCCGGTATGGCCACATGTATAAACACCTTAGCAAAAGTGCAAGACAGACCTGGCAGGTGCAAAACATGCTATGGCAAAGGTTGCATGGAGTGCAAACTAACAATAACAAACATTGGGGTATATATACCCCAAATATTGGGGTCTAATTGCCTAAAGAGTTACTGTTAGAAGCAATGCCTAATATATGGATATACTATGGATAATATATGGATATATAGATAATATATGAGCTATGGTCAATACTCATGGTTAATAACCATTAATAGGGGCTAGTCATCCAATGGTTCATAGGGATTTATAATAACCATTAATAGGGGATCCTTAATATGGATGGGATGACCATCAACCATATAGTGAGTATTGACCATGGCTCATATGGATATACTAAGGATAATATATATTGAATACTAGGGATATACAATGGATATACTATGGATATATATCTGGTTGGTTTGGAACCATGGAATTTTATACAATTTTATGACTTTCCATTCAGTTGGGAAGAATCATCCCAACTGACTAATATATTTTCAGAGGGGTTGAAACCACCAACCAGTAATGTATGGAGAAGAATATACAAGAATGTAAATAAAATATGTAATGTCAAGCCTGGATGAATAAACCCCAAACGGCTGTGTAATTGGGAGGGTACCACTTAAGTATCAGATTATGACTATTGGAGGAGTAACCCCCTAATTAATAAACCATGGTTTATTAATCCGGGATTGACATTATACACTATTATAGTTTATACACACACATATATATATATATTGTTTGTTAATGGATTGTATATGCACATGGTTGGTAACCATGCGTAATGACACTGCTAATCCTGCTTAAATCCTTGCTTGGTTGCCCGTGATTGGCCCATGATTGGCCCCAAAAAACATATGGTGCCAGGCTGGTTGCAAGGCGAGGTCACCAGCTATGGCCTGTTGGGAGCATTGCAACAGTTGGTGACCTCCAAACGAATCGAAGTGGACACCTCCCTGGCGCCCTTGGCTGTGCGACTCGGGCAGAAGTTGGGGTACCTGGGGACCTTGGGCCATTGGAGTTGTTTTGAGGGTCCCAAATGAGTTCCGGGTCAGAAAAATGGTCGTTTTTTTTTTATGAGTATTTTGAGGGTTTAGGTATGTTTAGGTTTCGTTCAGAATGTTTGGAGGTACTCTAATGTAATCGAACAACCTCGGAGATTGCAGTCGTTTTTCTTCTGCAGACATCAACTAAGTATAGATGTCGGCATGATCCATGGTCAGGTTTGGGGTGCTAGGGTGCATCCAGCAGCTGGGTCTACTGCATTTCTGACAGGAAAGCGCTCCGGAACCTGCTAGTGCTGGTGTTGCACCACCCTGAGCTCGTGGCTTCTCTTGCAGACGAGCAGGAGGAGGATGTGAAGGAGGAGCTGGAGGAAGATGTGGAGAATCCTGATGTAGAGGACAGCAGTTGGGTGCTGGAGGTGCGTGTTTTCTCCCAAGCTGCCGGCTCAAACATTGCAACCAGTGACATTGCTATTGGTGGCAACTGTTATTACCATCTCGGCTATTGATGTGTTGTAATTATTGTTTCGTTTTTCCTGCGGTATAGTTACATCAGCACCTGGTGATGTTGGAAAATCATCCTCAAAAGGCTGACATGGAAAATGTTGCATGGCCAAAACAAGCCAAGATGGATAGCAATAGGCTCCTAATGTTGAAGCCGCCCACAACAAAATCAACACACCCACCAGGGTACTGATGCTTTCTGTGATTCAACAGGGGAGTTTCGCTGCAGCTGTGTTGGTATGTTGCTGAATGGTATGCGCTTTGCAGCCGTTTGAGTTGAAACGGTAGCATTTAGAGCACCCCGTCTTCAAAGTGCCGTCAACCTTGGAGGTTGCCCAGTACGTTGGCGCATCCTTTCTATGTGTAGACCTATAGGATGTGTATATATCTCTACGATCTGGGATCATCTAAGTCTACCTATATAAATGCAAACATGTGCAAACTTCTTTGGTCCCTCCTCACACGCACTGTAATGATATGTGTTTATAGTATATGAATCATGCGGAAAAGGTGCACGGCCCCTTTATGCAAAAAATCACCAAAGATCACAGCATTACCACTGCGCTCCCACCCAAAGAGTGGCTTGAAAGGAATTTAGATAGAGTGAGCACAACCCAAACCTGGTGTTTCCTTGGTTGGCTGGTGTTTTTTGAGTCATTACATTATTGATCAATTGATATTTGGCACTGGGATATCCACAGAAATCCCCCCCAAAATGGTAGAAAAATAACCACGAAGCTGCACATGACTCCCAGAATTGCTTGAAGGGGAAAAAACACATCAAAAAAATGCGGCAAAAGTCTGTATTACTGTATTTGATGGTAAAAGATCTGATTTCCATTGATTTCCTATCTAAATATTAAATGTTCCGTAAATCTATCCATTGAATGAACTGTTTTTCCCATGACTGCAGGACAGGGTGGAGCCATCGGCGGAATCAGCGCCTGATCCGGAACCGAAGGAACCGAAGGTGGAGGAGCAAAATCAGGACCAGAAGCGACTTCACCGTTGCGCTGGTCCATCACACCTTGGCATGTCTGATGTGCAAAGATACCCATAGAATCCATGGTGCTGGTATATATGCTAACATAAAGGGGGTATATTGATGGTAAATGTTACCATATATAGCATACATGGATCCTATGGGATAGGGAAAGTGAATGAACATATTAATGATCAACACCTGGATTTTGGGGCATCCGAAAAAAATCCACGAGCCGCAAACGATGTAACGGCCTCTGAAATCTTTGAGATTGATACTGCTATCTTATGCTATCTTATGCTATCTTATGCTATCTTATGCTATCTTATACTTGTATAAACTTATATAGATCTTGTTTATTTCAGCTGGCAAATGTTTCAGACTCTGCCCCTCGGCACTGATGACTTGGATCCCTCGGTGCGAAAACAGCTTTTCTTCAGGGTTCCGTGGTGTCCCATAGCCATAGCCATAGTGGTTGGATCTGGTTGGTGGTTTGGAACATGACTTTTACTTTCCATCATATATGGGATGTCATCCCAACTCCATTGACGAACTCCATCATTTTTCAAGATGGTTATTGCCACCACCAACCAGCATATGTCTTGGGATAAATATATATATTATAAAGACCATAGTGTTCTCCAAAGAATAGATGATTTGGCGGTTGATTCTCAGTTTTTTTGGGGCATGTGTACAGTGCAGATGAAGGAGGCACGAAGGGGTTGAGAAAGGACTAGGTGTGCGAAATCAACCCAGGTAGAGCCACTTCCACTGAGCAGGAGCAAAAGCCCAGCGTGGTGCAAACCGATGAGAAGGAGAAAGAGGAAGAACCCGACACTGGGATGATGATTGAACGCCCTGACGTTTGGGGTTTGTTTGGTACCATGCTATGTGTTTCAAAAGCCGTTTGGGGTTTCCATGGGTTTCCATTCATAGGTTGGCGTTCACAGACTTGCTTTGAGTCCACGAGCATCCGTGGCCGAGGATGAGGAGGAGCCGACGAAGGGAAAACTGGAAGAAGATGAGTTGGAAAAAGATGTCACCGCCACCCTTGAGGAGCCAGTGCCAGCTTCGAACTTTGTTTTCTCAAAATTTGCTTGGTGGAAGTTTCGCACGTTTGCCAGCTTTGGCCAGTCCAACTTTGCCTCATTTATCCTAATTTCCTCTAGGTGTTCATCAAAGAGTCCTGGAATTGACAGAAATCAGGACCATTCAGGACCCCCGACCTCCCCCTCTTCGTTGATGAACAAATCCTCCGGATCTTCGATGCCCAGGAGCCGGAAGGGGGACGACAGGGCTCGGTCTACGACGCGCTGGCAAAGAGGACGGAGGAGTTGAGCGCGACAGCCTTGGAGGTGCCCCTTGCTGAGGTGGAGGAACGCTTGAGGCACCCAGGGACCTGGGGGGAGTGGTAGGACTGGGGGAGGATGGTCAAATGCCGTCTTTCTTTATTGATCTGACATGATATGAAATGATATGAACATATGGAACGGCCCAAAATGGATGTCTTCAAGAGTTTAAATTGAATGATCCGCTCAACCAAGATGGTCTAATGAGTTTAACGCTGAAAACGGACAATTTGGGGCCATTGGCACCTCATTTCTGAACCCCGTCACAGCTTAAAACCAACAAAAACACATCATGGAAATGATATAACATTAATTTCCTAGAATTGATGGGCTAAGATATGTTCATATGCCACAGCTCAACCAATCAAGGAGCCCGGATTGCCAGATATGTTTGCCCATGTTTCTTGCTGCCTGCGGTCCCTGAGGCGTAGTCGAGTGAGATGGTTCCTGGTGCGCTGGTCCCATCAGTCCCAAGGCTTCCAAGCCAACCCTACGGAACACTACGTGCGGCTCATCTCTTGGTGACTTGCATGCAGGGAATGACAAACCCTGACAAAGCCCAGATCAAACATTGGTTGAGATATGTTGAGATTGATTTTGAAAAAAAGAGTGCAAAAAAAGCATGTCAAGGGTCCCGCCATGTCCCGCCTACAAACCAAAATCTCAAGCTTGCCAGATGAAATTGGCATCAAATTGGTGGACGACTGCCCACCCCAGTTGTGACAAGTCACACCTTTTCATGGCCCAGGTTCAGACTCTGCAGCTCTTTGGTGGATCACTTCCCAGTGGAGGTCCTCTCCCAGCTATTGTCTCCCTTGTTGAGTCCGGCCTATCGTTGCACCAGCGCCTTCAGAGGTGTCTCGTTGCCCGACGTGGTCTCCTTAGAGCAGGCCTTGGCGCTGGGTCCTGCGCAACGGCGTGGCTTCTTAGCCAACCTGGCTCAGAGCTTCATCGATGCCACCAGCGAAAAGATGACCGCGGCAGGAAGGGCCGCGGACTTTGCGCAGGCGACCTGCCGCAGTGGCAGAGATTTTATGAGTTTTGGGAGTTGATATATGGCAGTGTGTCAAAACCTTGTGCCCCTGGTGAACATCAAAATAGCTGGTAAATGGATGTTCATTCCCCTAAAAATGGTATTAATAGGTATTGATCCATACCCATATATATTTATATAATATATATACATATGTATATATATAATGTGTGTGTACGTATATATATATATATATCTTGATATATCTTCAGAGGTCTTGGTATCTTCAGGGAGGGGAGCTGGCAATAACCGCGATCCGACTTGGCTGCTGGAAGTCCGCATTTTTTTTTCCCCGGCATTTCTGATGTTGATGGGTGTTTGCTTATTGGAATCCCACAACTCAGTTGCTTTGTTGGTGTTTTTTCCCAGGTAGGTTTCGATCACCGTCTAATTTGTATCCATGTTTTCTCCGTGTTTCTAGCTTCAAGCCCCCCATGTTTTCATGGTTAGCTCAGCTCAAGTTAGGTCCCCAGTTCTATTGCTTCAACTGCCCATGTCTTCGTCTTCTTCAGTCCCCTTCTATCTAACCCATACAGGCTTAATTACACTGCTAGTTAAGCACATTGTCAGACTTGCTTCCAAGGTGTTTCTTGCTTGATCCTACTTGTTCTTCAATTTGTTCACCTAGCCATCAAGAATAGGGAGTTAACATGAGTCAACCATAAAAAAGTGGTGATCTTGACCCATGTCGATCCAGTGTCGATCCCACAGTTCGCTGGTTGACCCGACCACGGCGCAGGCGCTGAATCGCATCCGCAAGGCGGTGGAGCATCGCCGCCAAGAGCGAGTGCAGAAGCGGCGCCTGCAGCCGGTCACGAACCCCGAGGCGGCGGCGGCCACGCGACGAGCAAAGAATCGACGCAGGGCCGAAGGAGCCGCAGGGATCCACAGGGTGGATGTGGAATGATGTGGAAACGACAACCATTTGGTGGGTTTTGAAACAAGTCGAAAAGCACCATGGGAGTGAATCCCAGCCGACTTTGAAGGATGAAACAAAACTCTATAAGTTATACAAAGTCCAAAGTGCAAGATCATATAAGTTTAGTTTAGATATACCCTCTGGTAATTTAACATAGCTATGGAAAATGACCATTTATAGTGGATTTTCCCATTAAAAATGGTGATTTTCCATAGCTATGTTAGTTTACCAGAGGGTAATCACCCTGGAGGATAAAGGATCATATCCATATGAAGCCATCAGCGCTGGCAGGAAAGAAAAGAAAGATGGAGGAGTTGATCCACAACACAAAGGGTGGACGCAGCCCCGGCTCGTTTGCCATGGATGGCTTAGCGCTTTGTTGGAATATGTTGGAATATATCGGGATGAACCCAGTGATCTAAAACCTCATTGGCAAATATTGGCAATAGCTTTTTTACACCCTGGTTGAACCTGCTTGATTCAATATCTGGGGGAGTTTGTATCTACGCTTCGGCAATGAAACTTTGGTCTCATCATGTTGCATTTGCGTACTGGAAATCAGTTGCCTCCACTTGAAAAGCCGGAAATGTGGGATCCACAAACAATAGAGCTCCTCAATTATCAAAAATGAAAGGGGCTCAATTCGTATAGAATCTTATAGATCACCCCTATTGTAGGGGCCTATGAAAATTTCATGAACATTCATGAGCCACACACACACATATATATATATATATTGGTTTATTATTGTGGATCGCCCTGTATGATATTGGCATGTCGCATCTCACCGCGAGGCGGAAAGCAAAAAGTGAAGCAGTCCAAGTCTTTGATCTGAGAAAAAGATCTGCGGCGCGGAACCGGGTGGCTGACCCTGTTCCCCAAAATATGGAGTTTGCCATGTAGTTAGCTGCAAAAATGCGGGTCTCATCCGTAGAAACTTGAGGTTCAAGAAAGATCGGAATACTTGTATTTTGCTAAGATCAGATACCGGAAAGATATTACACCATATTTGCACCTAGTATACTGTACCTGGTTCAAGATTTGCAAAAAAAGGTGCTTTGACCACCTTTGACCAACTTAACAATATTATTGGTTTCCCAGGTTCTGACTGCCAACCGCGTGGGGGATGATGCTGACCAATTGTTTCCTCCATCTTTTTTAGGTGCATGGAGGTTTCGAAGAAAGGGGGTACACGCATGATGTCATCCGTTCTAACAGCGAAACTGTTTCCGTAGCACAATTGCATCATTTGCAGCCAGGTGGCCCTTACATCAGATCATGCGTAATTATATGGACATCAGCAAGCAGAAAGTATGTCATTCCAAAAAGAATGTAAAGAGAAATAGTTATGCAGTCAATGTGTGGGAGCATCACGGGATATTCAGCAAGAAAAATGGGGATAAGACTCAACAATAGATGGTTCTTGTGGATTGCGGGTTCGCCTGCTACCATTTCTTGGTGATTTTCTCCCATGCTTAAGTGGCACTTGAATCATTGTCCATCCCTCTGGGTTTCGTTTACCAACTTTTGTGCCATGCCTCATGTGCAAATCAGTTCCCCAAATGGGGACTATCAGAAGCTTCTCAGCAATTTTCGGTGAACTTGCGGCTGAGTTCCATGGGTAAGGGGCAGCCAGGCTTACTATGAAAGATATGCTCTAAATGCACAGGTGTATATCCCAATACTCGTCCCAGATATCCCCATGTTTTTGAAAAAAATACGCATATTCATGCTTGTCATTTTGGCGATGTGATTTTTTTGCTACCAAGGTCGAGTCAAGCCTTGGTGAAGGGGATGGTTATATAGTTGGCATGCGGTTCTACAGCACATGTTTGTCCTGTAGGCCCCTGAAGGTTCCCAGGAGCACCCGACGCATTTGTTTTCCATGTGGTTTTGATGCCAAGGATCTATTATCGACGTTACCCTGAGACAGAGAATGACTCGGAGATGAACTCAAAACGGCCTCAGGCGCACCCAGAAATGCCAAGGGTTTCGCCGGTTTGGCAGGCACTGTTTGCCCTGCAGTCACCTAGCAGCCAATGAACAATACCAGATGACGTGTTCTGATTCTGGAACGGCGGGTTTCTAATTGTCGTTTCAGATTGCCAGAGAGTGAGGCAATCCGAGAAAAATCTGGGAGAAGTTGAAGTGCACTACTGTGGATGAAAGAAATCCTGCATCACCTTGGATGGTTGAAACCCTACAAACAATGGGAAAAACCACCTACTGTATCAACTGATGCAGGATTTCATAGGATTTCCATCCACCGTATTTTCTTGTTTTTTTGCACCAGGAGTCACTAAGGGAAGATGTTGGAAACAGCCAAGTTGGTAGGTTACTCCCTTGTCCAGCCACGATAAATATGTTTTTTTTTTCAATGTGTTTTTATCCTTCCAGTTTGGGATGATGAAACCCAAGCACTCATATGTTTCAGATGGGTTGGAACCCATCAGGAAATTTTCACCCCCAAAGCCATCCAAGCCCATCCAAGCCCATCCAAAGCCATCCAAACCCACCTTGTTCCCTAGTAGTTCTTTGGGGCTGGGACCTTGGCGAGGTGCTGCTTCTGATGGGCATGGGCGGCACACATGGCTTGTGGAAGTTTCAGTCCGAGTACTTTCAACAATTTTGCCAAGTGGCTTGGCTGTGCACTGCGAGATTTTCGTGTTGAAGATCCAGGGCTGTCATGTTCTGCTAAAACTCGAGACGTCCAAAACATGACATTTAGAAACACACATTTACCAACCGTACCTCATGAATCTTCAGAGATCAAACCTGGTTTTTTCCAGATCACAGTTCTAACCATGGATTTTTTCAGATATCTCCAGTTTTCTCCAGGTTTTTTCAGAGATCTCCAGGTTTTTTTCCAGGTGAATCCAGGTTTCTGCATCGAACCCCCCACATCGCTGCCCTGAAGAAGGTCTGTGCCCTGGACAACCGTGGCACCGGCTATTCGAGCCATCCATCTGGGGAGATGCGTTGGACCACCCAACGTATGGCGCGAGATGCCTTGGCCGTGTTGGATCACCTGGGATGGGCCACTTGGAACGGAAAGTTTCCAGTGTCAAGGGACTGGGAACTGAGAACTACTGGGATTCTATGTACTGTGTATACTATGTATAATTACATACGTATATACATACACACACATATATTATATAGTATTATATATATATTTGTGTGTGTGATGTGTGTGTGCTAGATATGATATGTACTAAAGATATGTACATATTTATTTATGGCTGACCCAGCATTTGTGGAATCTCCTGTTTCTTTAAAAACGTCCCCGGATCGTTCCAAGGAGAAGGTGCACATCATTGGAATCAGCATGGGTGGCATGATCGCGCAGGCGAGCTGGAAAATCCACCAGTTCTTCGATGAGAAAATCCTGATTTTCCCATACCTAAGTGGCTTGTTCTGGGATTTAAAAAAGCCAACCATGTTTGATGTTTCCGGAGGATAAATGCATATAAATGCGATAAATGGACCCATGGTGTGATGGTGCGACCCCCTTTTTTTGTGGTCAAGATTTGGCTCATGGGGGTTAGCGGTCAGAACCGGGACGATCTCACCATGTTCCTGGATATACCCGGAGAGAGAGAGAGAGAGAGCGTTACTTTGATATACCATGATATACCCAAACATCTATATCATCTACATATCCAAACATATATAAAAAATCACTACTCATCTATATCATCTATGTTTTATCAATCTACAGTGAACATGTAACATCTATACCATGGATCCAGGAGCTGGCCATCGCGGTACCGCAGCGTGTGGCTTCGCTGGCGTTGCTGGCCACCTACTCCTCCGCACTCTACGCGCTGCCGACCACGGCAGCACTGGTGGATCTGGCACGCTCCATGGGGCTGCTGACGCGGGATCTAAGGGAACAAGGCCTGGAAGATGGTGGTTTTTTGGGCATCGAACATGACGGAAAACTTGGGGTTTAAACCAACAATGGGGAAGTTAAGCAGCAAAAAATATTGACTTCGAGAATTTTTACCCAACAACAAGTATGATATAGGATTTTAAGCAACAAACATGGTGAGCAACTTATATTCAAATAAAAAAGCACGGATTCGACAAACCATGATGGTGATATAGACCTCACATACGGAATTGATTGGGATTCAACGGCGTGTTGAACCAAGGCTTGGATTGGAGATATTCAGGCGGTTGCCTTGAAGTATTTCGTCAGATCGCAATGTCGCCATAGTTCACTGATGTACCCGGCCTGGTATATCCTGGTATTCAATTCAGGTGGCAATGGAAAATTCATGAAAATTCACCATCGTGGATTTTCCTATTAAAAGGCATTAAAATCTCGGGGAACTTCCCAGCCACGTTGGACTAGAGGGATCGCCACCATGGTACATCCGCCACCAGGAAAAGCCTCCATGAGACTCAACTTCCCCGACGACTGGTTGGAGGGACGACGATGCTCAGAGTTGCACGAGGGCAAGGAAGTGTCCAACAGCCGTTGGGTGAACAAGGCCGGTTCTGCTGAAACGCGTGGGCTCTGACGGTCTGAACTATCAAAAACGGATCAAAACGGTGATTTCTTGGGGGGATTTAATCATCAAAATGGAGGTTGAATCATTGGATTATTCTCTCTGGTTGATTGGTGAATGCCGAACAAAAACTGGTGAGCCTCCCGCCACCATGCTCAGTAAATGATGATGAAACGTATCTACGAAACCAGCCCAAACCTACAAAGAGCAGCATTGAGGGTGCCTATCAGTTTGAGCATTGTGATGGGTCGTAGTGTATATCATGGATTTGCATCAGCAAGTGCCATAAATATTCCATAAATTGGAACATATTGGAACATTTGAAGCTCCAAGATGTTTCCTGCCATGTCTCCAGAAGTCTTTGTGGTTGCATTTGATTAAATTTACGATCTCTTAGCACTTAGACGCAGGCGCTCGCGAAGTTGGGGGCATTTTTGTTATTTTTGTTCCAATGCCAAGCACCTCTGCAGGCTTTCATCCTGATGACTTTGGAAGTGCCGGAGGAGCTGAAAAGCGCCGAAGCGTTAAGTCAGGGGGGATGGCAGGGGCGCTGGTGGCGCAAAAAGTTGGTCGTAGCTTCCAACAGACCAACAAGTCGGTTATGTCTGGAAACAGATGATATAGCGAACAATTAGACTATGGGAACTGAGTAAACATTCTGATTGGTGGTTTGGATTTTTTGTATTTTTCCATAGTATATGGGATAATCTTTCCCATTAACTAATATTGTTCAAAGGGGTTGAAACCACCAACCAATCATATGTGAATTCCTGTTGGTCAATAAATTTTGAGTCACAGACACGAGGATCATGGATTGCACCGTGCGGACGACGTAGCTGTTCTTTTGGATGGACTCATAGGAGCCTAAATAATAGTTTATTATAAATAATTTATATTTTATATCGCCATAAATACGTATCCTGTTTGTTCACAACTTATATGCATATGATATGTATATATATATATTATATATGGCAGCATATAAAAATGTCAGGTGCACAGGATTATCTTGAATTTTGAGCCACAAGCATTATCTCATTCATATCTCACCCTGTTGCAGGGCGCTAATTGAAATTGAGAGTTGTTGAGCGGGGCTCCTGCACAAGGCCCTACTTTCAGGCGTGAGGTGTGCTCACGCAATTTGTTTTCAGGAACCTGAACATTCAAGGGAAAGGGGCTAGGAGAACTCCTAGCCCCCAAATCACCTTCTTTGCCAGCTTTGAGCTTGGGTACCTGCGGGGAGAATCATTTCGACTTTCCACAGGTTGTAATCCTGCATATAAAAGGTTGCACATAAAAGGCTATGTTTGGTTTCATTCTATCCCGCTGTGAGAAGATTTGCATATGTCAATCCTCCTTCATCTCATCTCTGTGATGACAAGTAGACCCGCGACAACTGACAGGCGGACATAGGTGTGTGTTTCCTTCTTTCGCGGGATTAAACTTTAAACCTGGATCTTTAGATGAATAATAATGAAGAAATGTGATGCTTCGAAAAGACATTTCCATCTACTACAGCCACCACAAGGTGATCTTAACATATCTTCACCCCCAAAGTAGGAGGAATCTGACATCCTCTGGGGGTCACAATCTTAACAGGAGAAATCTCACCTGACTCACCAGTTCTAAGGCAAGGGCATGGGGTCCTCCTCGCGGACTCGTACCATGGAGATGTTCAAACAGCTTCTGGCGGTGCTGACGCACCACGTCAGCGGTGGGCGCTGCGCCAGCCTGCGGCGCCTGGGCGTGCCGGTGCTGGTGATGACAGGCCGGAAGTGGCTGGTGACCAGGTGGGTTTTTGGGTCCCTTGGATTGGTAAATCATAGTCAGAATGTGTCAGAATCATTCCCAAAATCAAGTTAAACCATTTCTGGGGTTATTTATCCTGACTTACCATTCCAATGTTTTTAAGGATTGTTTTTTTGGGGGGGACCCTCAGGGAATCAGACATGGTATTGAAGAATCCCCCCATTTATGAATGATTTTCTCACTAAAGGGTTTCATAGGGATTTCCAAGTGCCATTTTCGATGACCGGAGGGTATATGCAAGATTGCTTTGGGGACGTGCACTTGTGAGAATCAGGAAACCTGTGAAGCGAACAGGGCGAAGTGTTACGTAGGCCCGTAGGTGAACAGATTATTTGCAGAAGAAGGAAACCCATATTATCAAATTGAAGGGGTCGAAAAGCTGCCAGAAGGGACCTGGATCTTTTCACTTTGAACGGTAGAAGGGAATTCTTATGGGTACTTCGCAAAATGTGCGAGAGAAAGGTGGCCTGGTCGCGAATTGGTTTCTATTCAAGAAGCCAAAAGACAACATCCGCAAGTTTGACTTCAGATCCATCCGAGTAATTAGGCCTCCACTTCCAAGATGTACCAAGTTTCAAGTGTTTCTGTCCATCTTCACGGATTCAAGATTAAGTCGACTTGCAAGTCCCTTCGTGTCACAGCCGGTCCCAGTTTGGGACATGTAGAATCATGTAGAATCACTTGTGATTCGTCAGTTGCCAAGGTGATAATTTGGCTTTGCCGGAGATGGTAAATAGATGTAAATAGTTTGATCAAAGGATGGCGATGGAGATGGAGAGAGAGAGAGAGAGAGAGCGACCTCGGATCAATCAACCCCCAGTTGATTAATATGGTGAGTTATGGTGGGGCCGGGGTTCCATGGGGCTCCCCAAATAGTGATAAATTTCAATATTTCCTTTGAGAAGTGATACCCCCCAATTAGTAAACTTGGGGTTTATATACCTGGGTTCATGCGAAACCATGGCAGCCATGGCATATGCGCACAGGCAGTGAAGATTGGCTGGTCCGGCCGGTGAACTCCCAGATTATCGCTGATCACTTTGCAACCAAGGTGGAGGTGCGGAAGTCCCAGCCTGGCATTCCATGGGCCGCGCTGATGGTGGCTGAAACAGGGGGATTTATAATAGTAAATATAGTAGTATTATGTAGTATGTTTGGGAAACCCAACTATAGATGATAAACTCCCAATATTAATATAACGCCGAAGAGGTAGAATTATTCTTCGGTTTACTGCCAGTGATTGAATCGCGGCAATGTGCCTGTTCTATCTTTTCGATCATTTTAGGGTGGTTCCTGTCAGTAGGGTCAAGTGAAGTTTGGGATTCGGCAAACAGAAATATCAGATTGAACCGCTCGAGATGAAAAAGATCATATAACCACCTGAAAAATGGACTTGAACAACAAAAATCATGGCTGAAATGCAACATGCCACCTCCCCAAAAAATGAAAATTTGGTTACTGTGGCCCGCGCGGGCCAGGTGTTGGATGGCCTGGGCCATGGTCTGATTTTCCAAGATGCCCTTGCTGTGAATGAACACCTGGCGAGCCACATCCAAGCTGGTGAGGACTACTTCCAGAAGAAACCAGCTGTGATATCCAAGCTCTAAGATGACTTCGGCTGCTGGAAAATGTTGGAAAAGAGTTGGCAGCTGAGCTAGTTGATGCTAGTTGTAGGATGCTGCAGGTAAGTCGGAGCTTGGGATGGTTTGAGTCAGAGTTTGGTCCAAACAAATCCGCTAACACACAACCATCATCAACCATCACAAACCTAGGATGGACCATCATTGTTTCATATTGTTTAGCTGTCCGGTGTTCCACAGCTTGTGTGGCCCAAAACGATTGCAGCGCCACATCGCCACAGCGCCGGATCCCAATGGGTTCCAGCCACCCGAGGGCAGGCCATGTCGGCGCGGAGGGTGAGGCACCCGAGGTGCATAAGCTCCATAAGGCGGTGGCGCACATGGCTCGAAGCATGGGCCGATATGGAGGGGTTTTACTCCAAGCAGCCGCAGCGTGGGATGGAAATGTGCCTGGGCCATCCTGGGCCTGGGATGAGCTGTACATTTTGGTGATTTTCTGGTGCCATGAGGGTTTTTGATGCGCCAAGTGGTTGTGCTGCTGGAAATCCCTGATTCCTGTTCTGATTGACTTTCTCCCGTTGGCGCAATCGCTGCAGCAGCCCAGGTGTTTTTTGCAGGTGCCGCGGGCAACTTGCAGCTTAGATCCGCCCTGTTTGAGTTGCTTTGTTCGTTTTGAATGTCCGAATGTCACTTTCCATCCTCCAGATCCGCACCAGATCCGCAACAACTCGGTTCTTTCAGAAGCATCCAATCCTTTGAGCTGGAGCACTCAGGACCTACGGTAGCCAAACCTCCGAGATCTCAGCTGCCGATTCCTTTGAAGTGGCATCCATCACCAAGATGGTCACCGCCACTGTTGCTGGGCTTTTTGGTGTGCTGTTCATAGCATGCTATAATGTTGATGGATCATTGATGGATCTAGCTGCCATGAATCAGATGAAAATTTCTGTAAGTTGATGTACCCTCTGGTAATTTAACATAGCTATTGAAAATGACCATTTATAGTGGATTTTCCCATTAAAAATGGTGATTTTCCATAGTTATGTAAACGTTTACCAGAGGGTAAGTTGTGTAGTGGCACGCCCTTGGGCCAACGGGCCTCTAGTTTGAAGACCTCTTGTCTGGTAAGTCACTTCAGAAACGCCACGGATCCAATGTGTTATTTTTCAGCAACGACCGCGTGAGACTGTCATGTCTGTTTCTGGTGGTCATGAGTTGCTGGCCATGTTGCACCTTTATGATCCCAATCCCATGATATCCCATGTCAAGAATGATGAGTTCCCGAGAGGATGTTTGCTGCTTCACCCCCCATATTTCGTTGTTTTTTATCTCCATGTATGCTGATGAAATCCAAATTGACTTTTTCATGGAAGTTCAATCCCTATGTTGAATTTATGTTGCTCAAATACTGTAACATTCATGTAACATTCATGTTTGATCATGGCCACATCCCCTGCATCCCGGCACCAGGTAGTGATGCAACTGGTGGACGAAGGCCGGGTGCAACTGGACGAAGTCTGGCGCTCCGTGGCAGGTGGAAAGCTGGAAGCGCAACTCGGGCGGCACGAAGAAATGGAACGGGGACGTCATCCGCAACAAGTTGGGGATACCCTCTGGTAATTTAACATAGCTATTGAACATGGCCATTTATAGTGGATTTTCCCATTAAACATGGTGATTTTCCATAGTTATGTTAAATTACCAGATGATAGAAGCAAAGCTAATTTTGGTTGCTGCGTTCGAACGTTGATGTGAATACGTGGATTATATTTGTTATATATGTGTTATCGCATGTTATCGCTGATTGGGACGGTTTGCCCTAATGGGCTTTTGTTCGATGGGTTGAAGCCATCAACTGAATGAGATGTCCACAGCAAACGGTGCGAACATGTGGTTCGTAGGAGAAATCCTGGCTGATAAACTACAAGAATTGGTTGACGATGTACAAGTGAAAGTTTACAGGAAGTCCGATAGCTTTCTGTTCTCTTCTTCAAATCAATCAATTTAAGAGTAGCATTTCCGGGTGACATGTTGTAATTCGCCTGTGCTTTGCTCTTGGTCCTTCCACAGGCCCAAGCAAGTATACAGTATACAAAGTTCATGGACGCAGCGGGTGAAACTATGTGCAAATCGCGCATTTATACATATTGTGTATTATTATTGTGCATTATTGTGTTCTACTGACTGTACACCTAATTGGTCTAAAAGCAAACGGAGAAAGAACAAGAAACAAGTCGTGAAATTTCGCGGAAAGAATGTCGAAAATTCATTCCAGTTTTAGGAGGTGCAGGATGCGGGCATGCTGTGCCAGAAAAGCATTGGCTCTCTCATGAGCAAAATGATGTTTGCAACGCAATATCCACAATGGCGGTATCAATAATAGACTCTTCAATAGACTATTATAATATCATAGTATCATAATATCACAAAATATCATAATATCATAAGATCATAAAACATAAATATCACAATATGTATTCATATGAGTTTAGTATATATATATATCATGTATCTATATATTATTCCCAATGCATTCATTCCCCAGTATTCATTTTGCATCCTGAACTGTATTGTCACGCATGTCTCAATTCGTCACGTTTACATCACTGTTTTTTGAAACATCACTGTATATTGAAAGTGTTGATGCCTCCTATGTGTAATCATATTTCATGACGTACTGCTTCATTTACCGGCATTTAGTACATATAACTTATACATAATATTAAGTTTTATATTCTGTTTTTGTAGATATGATAAACATGCTATATGAATACTATATATATATATATTTCACACACACATATATATATATACACATGCATATACATATACATGCAATGCCGCGTTTAAAACACAGTCTGGCAGGAAAGTCAAGGCCCACGTTCCGACGTGGCCCTCGGAGCGCTTCGGAGACTTCACGGTGGCGGAGCTTTTGCAGCACACGAGTTGGGGAGCCAAGCGGTGGGACGGTGGAACCGGGTGACCGGGTGACCGGGTGACCGGGTGACCGGGTGACCGGGTGACCTGAGATTCCATAGTGGAACATGGATGAAAATCATGGGAAAATCATGAGAAAATCATGAGAAAATCATGGGAACATCTATGGGAACACGTGTGAATTTGGATGGATGGTGTGGGAACGATGTGGGAAACTGATGGAATTTTTGAACAGATGGAGTTTGGGCGATCTATTTTTCAGATGGGCTACGGTGCTTTGGGAAAGAATCACCTCGCTGGAAAATGAATGAAAATGATGGTTATTGGGAAGATCATTCCAAAATTGGCTTAGTCGGATGTGTCCCGAAGTTGCGATTTTCCATGGGAAAATGATAATCGGCCATAAGATTTTGTTTTTGTTTCCCCTGAATTCTCAGACAAACCCACCTTTGATTTGGGAATTCCCACAACTTGCGCAGATGGAGGCTTGAAATTTGCTGAAAGTTGATGTTGTCAGTGCTTCCGACCTCAAACTGGAGTTCGACATTCGATGGCCTAAGCCGTGGTTTGAATTTGACCGTCGCACCCAAGGAATCCATCTTAGTTCGCGAGAAATTTCAACCGATGTCTAACCCCATCCTTCAGGATGGATGGGTTATGGTTATGGCATCGGTTGTATCCCCATGATATCCCCGTGATATAACATGTTTTCCAGTGAACTCCCACAAATCCCCCCTATTGTTTAGGACTTTCATATGACTTTCAGAAGTGACTTTCAGATCCTTAGACTTGCATGGCGTTTGCCCATGTCGTCACTAGGACTGCCCAAATTTGAAGCGTCATGGTGGTACTCCCAAATAATCCTTAGTCATTTCATCCAGTCAGGAAAACCAGTCATTAGACCATGATGACCATATCAGAACCATATTGGAACCATATTAGAACCATATTAGAACCATGACTTATCCATGACTTAGTATTGAAGAGTTTCTTCATGGTGACGACCGGAGCCCCTTAACTGAGGCGGTTTACCCAACTACTGGGATGATGACTCTGACTTCATCAAGGCTTTTGAGGCAGACCCAGATCGAGACTTAACAGACTTAACAGCCGCCTTTTTTGGGGATTTTGATGGGTTTAGATCATGGGATTTATTGGATTTCATGGGATTTAACGGGGTTTAAAGAGTTTTTCTTGCGGAAGTAATAGTCAAAAATGGTGAATCATTGATAATAATGGATACTGAATGGACTATCAACAAATATACAATGGTATTTACCCTCTGGTAATCACTCGTGGCTAGCGGCAAAATCCTCGAACTAGCCATGGAGGTCTATAGCTGGGAGAATCATCGGTCACTAAATCGCTGGGATTTTCTCATTGCTATCTTTGAGTACCGGAGGGTATGTTGGTGAGAAAATCTTTACTGTGATGGTACTCGTATGTTGATGATGTTGGTATGTTTTTCTATTGTTGTAGTATGTTGGTGGGACTACAATCTTTACTAAACCATCCCAACATCATCGAAGATCCATCTCACTTTGGGGAATTGTTGGGCGTAAACTATGTGAGTTCTTCCGCCCAGTTGGTGCTGAGTGGGCAAGGTATTTTCATATGACCATCATACAGCCATTGTGTCAAGATCCACAGGACAGACCCTTGGGATGATATTGGACGTAGGGAACGTCGTGCCAAGGATTTGTCGGATTTATCACCAGGTTGAGGATTCAAACCCCCATCAACTTCCAACCTTAAAAAGCCACCTGGAACTTGATGGGATGTGAATCCTCTTCGAATGTATCACTGTATCACCATCAAACCCATCAACAATTGACTCACCCGCAAATAACCATTAGATCAAACAATTAGTACCATGAACCCACCATTGAAACCATCAAATTCATGACCTCTGGCAGTTTTCCATGACATCTTTGTTAAGATAGTTCACCATCATTCAGTCACACCAACTCATCACCTAGGACTCTGGACCACCTGGGAACTCCTAAGCTATGCCGCGGAGATGAAGAGCAGCTGCAGCCCGCAGCAGCGCGGCCGGCCGGACGCCTTTTCCTATGTCCCTCACTCCTGGCTCCGGGGATCACCGGGACGCCCACCTGGCTCATCCCATGGTATTCCCATGGTTAGTGGTGGGGTTGAAGCTATAAATTCTATAAATGGAATAAATCATGAAATCTAGGAATCAGGGACTGAAAGGAAAAAGCAAGCTACAAACAGGGATGATCCTCAAAGCAACAAATGGGAAAATACTGGGGATACTTGATGGGGATACAAGGAAAAATTGGGAAAACAATGGGCAATGGGGACATAATTTAATTACTGTAGCCATTATGATATGTGGTATCGAATAAATGGCAGCACAGATATTTATATGGCAGCGTATGGCAATTCAAAGGGGAAAAAGGACACACCATCAGAGTTTGAGGCGCCTAATGTTTAGGGAAAAACGCATGCGCAAACCCAATAGTGAACCAAGAAAAATGGGAGGTTTATTGTCTTGAATGTGCGACATTGCAGATGTGAACATTTGGAGAGGGACTTTGAGAACTGAGGCTACCTCTCTGGTTCCACTCAACTTTCATGGGTGATCCGTTCCGTGAAATCTTGATGATTTGGGGCTCCCGGAGTCGGAACCCAAGAGAGCCATTTGGAGGCGTACCCCCCTCAAACAAAGCCAATGGAGTGCCAATGGATGTTTCCAAATTCATGGGGCCTCCAAAATGATACATTTTTGGTGCTGGATTTTCCATGAAACCATCCAGATCTATCCAGCTATTGGGGTACCCGGGTACCCCCATTGATGCAACCGTTTTTTACCAAGGCTGATACGAACTACTTGCTGCTGGGGCTCATGGTGGAGCAGCTGGACCAAGAGACCTTGCCAAAGATCTTTCGAAGACGAGTCTTCGATCCAGCAGGCATGTCGCGAAAAGACACCTACTGCAGCTTAAGCTTGAAGGGGTCGGGGAAACACGTGGCTTAGACATGGTTAGGCCGGCTGGAGTGGGGAATAGTTGGGATATCCGAAAGAAAAAGTTTGGAGATTTCAAGTCTGGGGATGTTCTACTGGTGACATCTGGTGACTATTGGACATGTTCTTCCAGACTGGGAGATTTTTCCCGGCAAGGCGCTTTCCGGCGCTTTCTTCAGTTTCCCAGGTGAATTCTTGGAGGAGAGACCTGCAGGGGCAGCGCCCTTAGCGAGCCGCTACTTGGGAAAGCTGCAAATTACTGGGAAGAAGCAGCACTCCGCCGATTCCTTTGCTCCTTGGTGACCTCTTGGAACTTCATGGAACTTCAGAAAATGATGTAAAAAATGTATGTGTAAATGTTGGTAAATGTTGGGTACAACCTGCACGCATGGTAGAAGCATGTAGAAGCTCTATTAAATGAATGGCTTGGGACCCCCTTCACCCACCAAGAAGCAGTGCACAAGCTGCAGCACGGCTTTGAATATTTTTGAATCAAAGACGATCCATAGATTCATATGCCAGTTGCCTAGAGGTCCTAGAGGCACTGGACAAACAAAGATGTTGAGTTGAGGGAAAATAATGCGTCTTCAAGTCCTGGTCGGGAGATGATCCTATCCGAATCTATCCGATATGTTCATGTTTGTTGGACCAGCCATTACTTCCAACTTTTGCCGTGATCTTCTCACCGAGAAAGCGCAGATGAGCCTGTTGCACCGAAACAACTGTAGGGCTGCAGGGTTGTAGGTGGGCTTTGTTGATGACACTTGGGTGTTGTGTAGTGTTGTCTGATTTTCTTGTAGAGGTAGGTATTCACGCAGAGACCTAAAGGTCATGCTTTCCCCTGTTTGTGTTGGTAAGAATCGATCCATGGTCCACGATGCCAACCCTGATTCACCTGCAGGCTGCCGGTGGTATCGTTTCAACCGCTGGAGATTTGGAGAAGTTCATGAAAGCGCTGGCCAGTGGGAAACTGGGTTTGAGGATTAGTAATGAATATGTCAACCTTGGTTGAAAGCCAATCCCGGTTGATAAAAATCGGGGATTATCCCAAAAGTGAACATATTTGCTACTGAAGTGGTACCCCTAAACTAGACAACCCAGGGGCCCCTGGGTGAATAAACATAGGGTATCATAGGGTGATATTATATAGATGGTGTTGGGCTTTCCATTGTTTTGCCATGTATGGGTTTTACAAGTTGTTTTCCCCAAGTCTTTGGGTGTGTAGCTTTAGATGCTGAAGGTTCAAGATTCTTGGTACGCATGTGTTTGGCTGTGATTGGCAGCTTCGCTTGGTCAACTAATGCCCACCCAAGGAAGCTCTTCCCCATCAATGGTCATGCGACGCTCCAGAAGATGATCCTTGGTGTGGAATGCTAAACCAACTGGATGAGTACTTTAGTGGAACTCAATCTGTTGCTGTAAACGGGGATGTGCTGTCCTTAAGCCTCTTTCTTGCAGGATATCTAAGGCTGGTCAAGGTAGAGGATGACAATAGTTTTGTTGGCATTTGTTTGCTTGTGAAGCATTCTTGTTGCACCATGGCACCGGGATCAAGACTGTGTCGGTGAAGGTCGGGCTCATTACTGGTCAAATCCCAGTTTTTGGTTTTTGATGATTGTTTCCCCTCATTTTTGTTGCTCCAGAATCCTTTTTTCCCGCAGAAAATCCGCATGTGTTGGTTGGTTCAATGCCAATTTCTGATGGGGTATTTCTGATGGGTTCAAAGCCCATTTTTGATGCTTGAAATCCAAATCTTGACTGAAATCTCCATTGTCCCCATGTTTGTTGGTTTTAATTCCAAGGTTTCTTATATGTTTTGTTTGGCTTCGCTTTTTGCTGCTAAATCTCATCATCTATGGGTCAGACATCATCAACCCCCACAGATTCCTAGATTCTGAGCCTTCGGCTGTCAGGATGACGTGGATCCCTGCCAAGCGCGGTACAGGGTGGTGGTATGGCCTGGGATTGATGAGATGCTTGGCGATCTGCTGTTGGAAATCCCCAAAAAGTCAGGGTTGATGATGGTTAAATACTGATCCCTTAGTAAAGCCTAAGCCTCATACAATTATATCAAATTATATCACTTTTGTGGGTTACCCTCAAGTTTCTATTATCCAGTTGCATCCAGATTTCTTCATGGCCCAAAGGGAATGTAATGAAGCAACGGTTTTGGGAAGTTCACCTGCCATGTTTCGCCAAGGGTGTTGCCAGACTGGTCACCTGCCAGGAATCGATCTCGAAGATCAGGCCGCCAAAACTCTGAGGCTGATTAGGTGTTAGCTGCCACAGGTCCAAGCATTTTTTCCTTGTTGAAATATGATATAAAATGAATTATAATGATATATAATGTGGTAAAAATCATGGTAAAAATCATGGTAAACCGTTAGCCCTATAAGAAAACACCATTTTTTGTGGTTCGCTTTTTGCATTTCCGTGTTTCCCCTTTGCGAGGTGGGTCTCTTGAGCCGCTTCTGGGGCGCGAAACCTGTGGGCTACGTCTGGGGCCACGAAGGCTTCGGAGGGGCCTTCGCCTGGTTCTGGAGCAGCGGCGAGGTGGAGAGGGATCTCATCATCACCGGCACCACCAACAACGAGGGCCGAGCCTATGGGGATTTAGTCATGACAGCTGTGCAACAAACGAGAAAACTCATCCCCTACCCAGTGAGCATCACCAGTTGAGAACAGCGTTTCGTGCCAAGTCGAAGGTGTACAGATGCAGGCTTTTGGTGTAAAGATGTGTATAGAGAAGTTTAATCCGGCCAGAATTCGCAATGAGACAAGGTCAGACATGTGAAAACAATTCCGAAACACGCGATCGATGTCAATTCCTTTGATAGTATATCTATTTTTTTAATTTTGTGCCTTTGACATATTTCACTACCAATTACCTTTCGTATCTGGTCACTTTCTTTTCAAATAGATCGCCCAAGTATCTATATTTGCCAATCCAGGAACTAGCAATGTTCGCACTTCACAGCTTCTATGATTATGAGTCCAACAACACAGAGAGTATAGGGCTTGACAAAAAAAATTAAAAAAAAAACAAAAAAAAACAAAACCATAGCAAACAAAAAAAACAAACTAGAAAACCAAAACCAAGGAAAAAACAAGAAAAAAAACTGCGGAAAATGCAGGTTTTGATTTTTTTTTTCTTGTTTTTTTTGTTTCTTCTGGTGATTCTTCTTGTCGATTTGTTTTTTTTGTGATTTTTTTTATTTTTTTTTGCTAAAATCCACTTTCTCTGTTCTACACGGGGTTATAATTTTATGAGCTGGTCAATGGACAATTGGGTCAATGTACAATTATGAATTTTTGCGGTCCTTATTTAATACGGAATTAACCCGGATCTAGCGTCAAAATTACATTTAATTTAATTATAATTTAATCAATAGTGGATTATTTCTTGATATCACGAAAGCTAGCGTCAGCTAGCTGGAGTCTTCTTGCTTTAGCAAGTATTGGGGGGGCTGCTCAAGGACATCACGTGATTTTTCACGCGAAAGGGCCCCCCCCCTCCCCCACCACCACCACCACCATCACCACCATCATCATCATCATCATCATCGTCATCATCATCGTCATCATCATC